TATTCTGAACAGTTTTTAAATTGTTCTGAGCTATTTGACAAGCAGTATACCGTTTTTCTTTGAATCTAGATACATAGTCTAGAAGATTTAAGTCAGTGTGTTTAGTACGCCATTTTTCCTTAATCAATTTTAAAGGTCTCCTTACAGTATAACCAAATACCAACTCAAAGGGACTAAAACCAAGGGATTCTTGAACAGCCTCTCGGACCGCAAAAAGTAAAAAGTGAACACCATCATCCTAGTCCCTGTCAAATTGAAGTCAAAACGTTCTAATCATGTTCTCAGATTTAATTAAATGGTCTTTTGAAAAATCTCATTGCAAATTTATTTGCTGTAACTCGTTTAAAGCCTTTTTCCGTTATGAAAAAGGAAAGTAAGCTAGATACACTTACTGGAAATGTGAAGATATGATTGAAGCTTAAAATTTTCTCCTGGACAACATATATGTACGTTTCGGCGATATAGTGTATCGGCAAGTAGTAGGTATTCCTATGGGCACTAACTGCACCCCTTTAATAACAGATTTATTCCTGTATTGCTATGAATCTCAGTTTATGACCAAACTCAGTAAAGACACGTCATTATTACATTTGGTTGATACATTCAATAATACCTTCCGTTATCTGGATAATATTTTGTCGTGAAATAATGTCTTCTTTGACTGTCCATGACGTTAAAATACTAAATCCCTGGGATGTGTTTTAGTTGATTTTAGTCTCTGATGCATGATTGTTTATTATTAATTGTTTTTGGCTTTTAACTAGCTGTCAGTAGTTGCGAGTACTCTCAAATCGTACTTTCTTGTTTATTTGACCTGTTGGTACTAATTGTAATGCTTTTTTGTTATTTAATGTTTACTTATTCGGGGTTATATCTAGTCTATATACCAGCTTTGATAAGTGTTTTGTATTACTCTTAATTTTCACTTCTTCGTACTATGAACATCAAAATTATTTATTTTGTAAAAATATTTCCTTTCTTCATTTGAACTGTACACGTATACCTAACAACAAAATTATTTTCATTTACCTGTGTTTAAAGTAATTGCAAATGGCTGATTTTTTTGTTCAAGCATATTGTTTTTCTTAAATTGTTTAACATTTCACAGCTGTATAACATGTTACTTTAATTATTCTTACCTTGGTTTATTAATTTTGTATTTACATTGTATCATAGATCAAATGTATTTGTTCAGTGTATGTTCACTGGTGTTGATATGTCCTTTGATTGAGTTAAGCCATTTCAATTCATATTTTATAGTGTGTCTTTCTATGTTGTGATGTTACACTATTGTTTTAGATAAGGGTGAAGGTTTGGTACCATTAAAACGTTGAAACCCGCTGTAATTGTTTGCACCTGTCCTAAGTCAGGAATCTGATGTTCAGTAGTTGTCGTTTGTTGATGTGGTTCATAAGTGTTTCTCGTTTTTTATATCGATTAGACCGTTGGTTTTCCCGTTTGAATGGTTTTATACTAGTAATTTTTGGGGCCCTTTATAGATTGCTGTTCGGTGTGAGCCAAGGCTCCGTGTTGAAGACCGTTCTTTGACCTATATTGGTTTAGTTTTATAAATTTTCACTTGGATGGAGAGTTGTCTCATTGGCATTCATACCACATCTTCTTATATATCTATCTTCAATGTTTGATGAAAACGTTCTTAGGCACCTTGAGATTCTGGAGGATAAGCACTTGAACTATACTGAGCAATCCCTAACTGGTAAACGACCTGCTGAAATAAACCTGACATGAAATTTGAACCCTGGTCGGACTGTATAGACTTCGGAAGTCCTACTAGCGTGAAAAATTTGATAAGAGCTTTGACAATAGTTGGTGTCTTGATATTCCTTAACGGAATAGCCTCAGGAAAGCGAGTGGATGTAAACATGATCGTCAATAAATACGCATTTCCAGTCTTGGTCTTCGGTAAAGGTCCAACGTAATCAATGAGTACTCGATCGAAAGGTTCTTCAAAGGCTGGAATTGGCAAAAGTGGTGCTGGTGGTATTTTCTGGTTAGGCTTACCAACAACCTGGCATATATAGCATGATTTGCAATATTCTGTGACATCATTTCTAAGTCTGGGCCAGTAGAAATGCTGCAAGATCTTAAGGCAAGTCTTCCTTATACCTAAGTGTCCAGCTAAGGTAGTGTCATGGGCAAGACCAATAATTTCTTGCCTATAAACTTTAAGCACCACCACTTGGTATACCACTTTCCATTTCTCCTCTGGGGTAGCATCAGGGAGCCTCCAATTCCTTATTGAAATGCCGTCTTGATGGTAGTAGCATTCGGCCACTTTGTCTGCTTCCTCCTGTGGTTGAGCCCTCTTGCGGAGCTGAAGAACCTCAGAGTCTTTATTTTGTTTTTCAACAAATTTCCTTCGGTCTAAAGAATGGTGGTTCACGTCTGGCCATGGCATAATAACATTCTTGTTAGTACTAGGTGGTCTTACTATTGCCTTCTCTTAGCTACTGGGACCTTCAATGTCGGCAAGGAAAGTGTCAGAAAGGTCCAAATAATCAAACTGGTCTTCTTGCAAATCCTCATTTTGTTGTTTTCTTTCCATTGCCCTAGTAACAACACAAGCTGGATACAGTTCAGCTTCATCTTCCGATGATTTAACATCCACAACCGGTTCACTGGTAACAATTGGTTCAGCAACCACTTTGTTCCTAGCTAGATCATGTCATATCAATTATGAAACACAATCAACAGGGAGAGTAGGACGAACACCCACAACAACTGGTCCAGTAATCAAATCTGACTACAGATAAACACGATGAAGGGGAACATCTATACAACGTAACTCCATACCTTGTAACAAAACGGAGGCACCAACAGAAGTCTCCTCGGACAAAGGCAACACACCTTCTAACAATAAAGTCTGAGAAGCTCTAGTGTCCCGTAAATTCTCAATAGGCTGAGGAGTAGTATTATCAACAATAGAAACAAACCCATTACAGAGCTCCAGATAAGAATTCACAAATTGGGGTTTTTACCCACCATTTTTTTATGTAATTGGGTGATAAAGTTTTTTTATTGCATTATCAATTCCAATTCACCCCTCAAGCAAATATGAAATTGGGTTTTTCACCACCAAGCTCCTTAATGTATTGGGTTTTTTCATCAACACAATATTGAATATTTAGGCATGTTATAATCACATTATATCAACCCCAGATGTGTTTCCATCTTAAATGTGTTTCTTTCTTTGTATATGTGCTTAGCTGTTTTATTTGGTTTATTCACTGACGAGCAATTGTACGTTTAATTTGTGTCCCATTTTAAACGTTCTGTCAGTTTTGTATTTTCTCAAAACTTATGTAAACTGCAGCTGGTGTCACTAGTTGGACAGTAACTAATTGCCTTTCTAGATCCCATATGATCACCTACAGTTTATAGTTGGGGTAGGTGTGGCTAAGTGTTTAGATTTTTATGTAATATATGTGAAATTTAGGTGCTGTAAGAAAGTTTTGCCAGTCCTTTCACCTATTTGCCAGATCTACTTTTTAATAAAAATAAAAAGTAGTTCCCAGATTTAAGATATACCCCCAAAACTTTGAGATTTATAGGGTGGTTTAATGATGGAGACCACATTCAACTTAAATTTACAAATAATTCTGCAACATCAAGTAAATAAATGACAATGTTATACTGCACTTGCCAATAAGACAACTATCTTAAGCATCCAGAACAATTAGACCAAAACAAAGAAAGTGTCAAGCTGCATAATTTGACGTAAAAAACGGATATGTGTATTCATTCATCAACTAAAATGACAAAAAATAATATATAAACTGTTTTTGTTTAATTCAATTTACATAAATCTGGGTTAAGTTGTCCCTTATCAGAACTTTTGGTTTCCGATGCTTTCCAACTACATATCATGTCATAATTGATTTGGCCTTTCACTTTTTCCAACTGATTTCGTTTTTGACGAAACCCCGTATTTGTCGTTCTATAGCAATGTTCTCGTACCTTCAAACACGACCGTGCGTTCAATGGACGCTTCCTAAAATCACTAGCTGAGTCTTGTTATCATCATAACTTTCCCTCAGCTATCAAAAAGAAGCCGAAAACATGCTTCTATTCAATATTTTTATCGGACATTTACTTTCGTTTTAATTCATTGTATGTTATGATAAATCCCGAGCAATTCGAAAAAATATGACAGCATGTCACACGCTAATTGGATAAACGCCGAGAAGATCGAAATGTTTTCATAAACACGTGTACCTTTTGAGCAACGGAAAATTCCAACAGGGACCCATTACAGCTACTTGATGCAGGGCTCTATTTTAAGAACGAAAGGACATTTCCAATTATAAATATTTTAAAAATAGATTTACGCGACGACTGTAATCAGATAAGGGTAAATAACGCGAACGATAGCGAATAAATGCGTTAAGAACTCATGGTTTTGGCATATAATTGGGTTTTCCTTTGAATTAATTGGGTTATTGAACCCTGCAATGGGCAATTGCATTGGGTTTTTAATTATTTGTATTGCGTGATCACGCATATACGCAGCTTATCTGGAGCTCTGAATTAATTTTACTTTTTGGTATGATGACCTTTTATTCCGGTTAGTGACCGATATGTGGTTTAGTGATATCAATAAGATTTTAAAAATGAATATTTATATATACGGTGTTAGTTCTACAAAATAATAAAATACCATGAAAGGAAAAATCACTCTGATTACTGAAATTAATGCTTAATAAAAGCAGAAGTTCCTCCTGCGTTTCAAGAAGGAGACCAAGTACGATTTACTTTTAACAATTCAACTTGATGTATAACAGTTTTATTTTGGTTAAGAATCCCTACATTTATTTTTCAATGTTTGATACCCAAAGGCCCAATTTTGATAAAATATGAAAAGTTAATGTAGGATAGATGAATGATGAACCTCAAGTGATGGCAATATTTCACAAACGCATTTTGTGACCAATAAATAAATGTTTTACGATAAACAGAAGTGTGCATTAAATGCTACCTACACCAGTTATATCATCCCATGCTTTGAAAAATTCTGTATTCTTTATTTTACCATCATCAAGATGAGCCATGACGTTTCTATAGTATTTTATTCTGGCTAAATCAGAAGCAGGTGTAGTTTCTGAGGATGTAGGTAGAATTTCATACCCGCCACGAGGAGGGGTCAAGGCTGTCAGATGTCTGAGTAGTAATATCATTAAAGTGACATCAAACTTCTTAGAATCTGGAACATCTAGAAAATTATAAAAGAAATATATATCAGAAAAAGGTCTAGTTAAATTTCTTGTGACCTTTAGTACTAAACAAAAAGTCCAGAACACATGTGAAGCAAGAAACAACAAAATCTTCAAGATTTCTTAGTCAATGTGTATGTTCTATGGAGGACACATGGAAAAAAACCTACTATATTCGTTATTTCTAAATTTCTATGACACAAAATCAGTATATGCACAGTAAAAAACACAAAAGGCAAAGGAACAGCGCTTTTATTGCTGTTCTCCATCTGAAAAGTCCCAACCCTCATACCTTACTACAAGTTAAAGACTGCCTGTATGTACGTTTAGTGAGTGTTTTTGTTATCTCATTTATAGATAAAACAGAAACTGATAAATCTATTACTTTTACAGAAATTAAACATATAATTTCCCTAATTAAAAAAAAAAACAGGAAAATTAGCAGGACCAGCAGAATTTAAAATGAAAATATTAAATATACATATCCAGTGCTAGGATAGTCATTTCTTACACTTTTTTTTTATCTCATTTTGAAAACAGGCAAATATCCAAATACATGGAAAAAATATTTCATGATAGCTCCTCATAAATCGGGATACCTGAATGGTCCCAATAACTACAGAAATATTTCTTTAATTTATTGTCAACCAAATTTTTTTAATGCAATTGTAAATAGCCGATTGAAAAAAAATTTAGACGGGCAACTCAACGAAAAGCTATTTGGGTCCATTGTATGAAGTCTTTATGTATAAACTAGCGAAAACAGGTGTTGGAAAACATTCTTTTCAGTGTTATAAAAGAGCAATATAATAAAACAGAATCTTCAATTAAATATAATTTTCAAAATATTTTATTATTTCAAGTGGGGTAAAACAAGTGGATTAATTGAGTCCCTTATTATGTAATATTTTTTATAAATGATGTAATCAAAAAGTTAGATAAAAGAAATTTAGATCCAGTAACATTGATTTCTTGAAATATTTATTCTCTTCTATTTGCATTTGAATCTAAAGAGGGATTACAAAAAAATTTAAACAATTTAAGTCTTGTTTGTGATGTTTGGTAGTTTAGTGTTAATCTAAATAAAACTAAAGCTACGGTTATAAAGTAAAACTGTTCCAAAAAAGCTCACTCATTTGTAACATACAAAGATATTCCAATATCAGACACAAATGAGTATAAATTTTTAGGAATGTTGATAAAAAAAAAAATGGAAAATTTTCTCAAAGCACTATGGATCTAACCAAAAAAGCTAAATAATATAAAAATAAGAAGATGTGGTATGAAGTTCTCTTTGCTTTAAAGTCACATAGTAGTTCATTTAGCAAATGATCCTTATATAAATAAAGGCATAAGTAGTATACCGCTGTTCAATAGTCATAAAATCGATTAATCGAGAAAAAATGAATCCGGGTCACAAACCAAAACCGTGGGAAACACATCAACTATTGGAGGAAAACAACTGAACAACAATTTAGGACTAAAAAGAGAGCAAATAATTCAGGAAAACAATTAGACCCTTTTTATTTTATTGATAAAACTCCTTTAGAAAAGTTACACCTACAGTTTTGTAAATATATATAGGGAACTCGAAAAACTTCATAAAAAAATTTAGGTGCAAAAGCTGATTTAGAGAGACTTTCTCTAGAACTCAAAACCTTGACTCTTTCGGAATTTAATCTTGGTTTTCATATGTTACACGTATGTTAGAAGAAACGGGTATAGATTTGGACACATTGATAATGTTTCTCACATAAGATACCTCAAACTATAACTAAAATTGAAGTATTTTTATGAAAAACTAGTAAATGATAAAATAACAGATATAAAGGACAACAGTAAACTCACTATTTATAAACATGTAAAACTATATAATACAGAAGAAATACTGATAACAAAACGTAGAATAAGTGACCACAATTTATTAACAGAAAAGCGAAGATATTTTAAAATACCAATAGAAGAAAAATTATGCAAAAACTACAATAAAATTTAACACGAAATTCATTTTTTTATATTGTGATATTAACAGTAATATTAGAAAAGTTTGATTTTGATTTTTTGATAAATAAGAACACACAAGTTATAGATTTAAATGATATAGATTGAATGATATATATCCTCAACCCAAGATCACACATTAGGGTAAATAATCTTGGATCCTTTATAAAACAGTTTATATAACTGAGGACAGGGGACTTTTGAAATATTTACTTTCATAATGTATATAAATGATCTTATTGATATTGTTTGTTTTCATTTCGTTATGTTGTGTAACATTCTATTTAGTATAATTAAGTATAATGGCAATACAGATTTGAATTGAATTGAATTGATATTAAATAGAGAAGGTTGAGATATAAAATAACTAGTTTAATAACGTCTCATGTTCCTGTCCCTTGTCAGATATATCTTCAGTGGTAGTCTTTGTCATAACGTAACGTATTTGTTTGCCGTTTCTTTTTGGAAAATTTGGTTATCATGGGAGATCTTTCATTGTTAGTGTTTAACTTATTCACAACTTTAATAGACTTGACATATCATCTTTATTGTTGAAGACTTAAATTAACATTATGTTTCCCTCTACATGTCGTTTTTTTTTGTGTCGTCCGGTTGCTGTTCCATTTAGGTATAGGCAACGTTTTCTTTTATTCATAACAATTATAAAGAGTGGATTCGTGCAAATTTATAATGTCATTTACCAACCATTAAAGAGACATAAATCTACAGAGCTAATTATAGCTACAGTGAAAATCAAATTAAACCCGTATTTTATGCTAATTAGTTATATTTTAAAGAAACAACGTGTCCGTCCCCAGAGAAACAATTATATTATTATTTTAAGATCATTCAAGAGGAATATTAGAATAAGAACAATTATTGTGGCAATAGTTCAATTGAAATAGACTTACGTCCTTCTTATAGGAAGTTTAGCTGTTTGTCTAAATCTGATTGTTTTGAACAGGCAATATGTCTCGGTAAAAGTAGAGACTTTGTCTTCTTTAACATTTGTTTGGAAGACATTACAAAACGTTCAATTTCCGAGTTACAATTCTTTCAAATTTGCAGGTTATAAAACTACAAACTTAAACAAAAATATATGTGTCCAATAGGACTTCAATATTACTCCTCTCGCATTATTACATTACCGCGATAAGGTAACCTAGAAATCAGGGTCTAAACACTAAACACTAATTCGGCATCTTTTCACAAGTTCACATCACAATGAACATGCATATTTAATAATTTTTTAAGTAAATGCGATTTCAACTTCATGGTATTAAAACAGATAAACAGTTGGTCTAAACATACTGACGGACACACAGACCGAAAAACATATTACTGTAGTATAATAGGTGGGTCATACAAAACTGTGAGCAGAGCTGGGAAATTCATATACTGTTCCTCCACTAGTAAATATGGTATAATGTTCAGCTGTCTAAAACTTCAAAATTTGTTCAAAGTTTAAAAATGCAATAAAAATAGCATTTAATGCTATTTAGTGCTACCATCAATAACCAAACTTTTGCTAACAGGCATTTTACTATATATAAGGACAGTTACACGGTAACATTCATATTACTCAAAGACATATAATGAATTGTAATGAAAAAATCAGAAGGGAGTAGCAATACGTAATAGTAAACACTCGGCAAATTTAAGGATCAGACAACTATCAAGTCTTAATGGCATCTTTCGGGGCGTAGATTTTTTTCTGTGAAGAATTCATTACAAAACTCTTAGCAATAACCAATATAGCTTCCCATGTGGCTGGTCTTGTGCCACTCTTTACTTACAAAGACAATGCAGTTCTATTGCAATCGATATCTCTATATATATATATATATATATAGTTTATTGTTTTCTGTTTAGTTTTAAATTTATAATTAAAATCCGTTTATTACATCGGTGATCCGTTTATTTGGCAATCGCCAATGGCAGTCAGCAGGGTTAAAGAACATTTGTTGTTCGACCTGTTAGTCAAATGCGTTTTGTTAAAATATACTTTTCACTTTTTTTGGTCTTTTGGAAAATATTGTTTGTGCTGTATTTAGACCCCTCTAACAAGAAATTTGTTTTGCATGCACACGTATAAAAATTGCGGTTTTTATCCAACGCAATCATAGGTTTAAACGTTGTTTTCAATTTAGACTTGTTTATATTTTTTCGTTTGGGCTTGTATTATATTTGCCTTCGGGTTCATATGATCCGTTCATCCTATTTTGACTCCTCAATATTCAAGAGTCTATCCTAAATTGAAGTAAATTGTATGGCTTTCCAAATACCGTTTCGATTCCTAACATTACTGAAGAGACATTAATTATCGAAATCCGGATATGATGTACAAAAACCTTTGCACCTTTTGTTTGCGGTATACCATCTTCTCCGCAACTCTATTGTTTTCTGTTTAGTATTAAATTTATAATAAAGATCCATTTATTACATTGGTGATCTGTTTATTTGGCAATCGCCAATGTCAGTCAGCAGGGTTTAAGAACATTTGTTGTTCGACCTGTTAGTCAAATGCGTTTTGTTAAAATATACTTTTTCACTTTTTTGGTCTTTTGGAAAATGTTGTTTGTGCTGTATTTAGACCCCTCTACCAAGAAATTTGTTTTGCATGCACACGTATAAAAATTGCGGGTTTTATCCAACGTAATCATAGGTTTGAACGTTGTTTTCAATCTAGACTTGTTTATATATATATATATAACTGACTGCCCAAAGAAACACAAGGATACATACATCTTTAAATTTGTCAAATCGTTTACTCTTTAAACATTAAATAATCAGATATAACAACTATCCTTATTAAACTAACTTTCATGTAGTGTGAGCAAAACTCACAAAATGATACTCTCATCCTTTGGACATTGTTGAAAACACAATGATTTGCTAAATTACCCCTCCTCCTAAACAAAAATGGGATAAAATATAGATAGGTACAAAATGGCATGATACTGTTTCTGAGAAGTTTTGTTTAAACAAGAAACTGGTTTGGGAGCTGGTTTTTGTTTTCTAAACACGATCGATCGAGTTCAAAAAGCAGTAAGTTCCAATTTGACTGGCATGAAGCTGATTTCTTAGTTCTTACAAGGGAATCACGTAAACAGTAAGATCCAATGTGACTGACATCGATCATGTATTTCTGTACTTACCAGGACATCTATGGAACAGTAAGTTTCACTTTAACTGGTAATTAGAATGTTTTTCTGTACTTACCAGGAAGTTTAGTGTACATCAATTTCAATTAAAGTTGAGCAAGTTTCTCTGTACTTAACAGAATATCTAGGGAACGGTAAGTTCCACTGTTACTGGCTTGTCGAATGGTTATCTGTACTAACCAGGAATTCTAAGGGTATGTAAGTTCCAATCTGACTAGCATGTACCATGTTTCTCTGTACTTACCAGGAAATCTAGAGAGCAGTAAGTACCACTGTTACTTGTGTATAGTAGGTTTCTCTAAACATACCAGGAAATGTAGGGGAAAGTAAAGCAATTACCAGGTTTCTTTTTTCTTACCAGGAAATCTTGGGGTAAGTAAGTTCCACTGTGACTGGTTAATTACACGTTTCTTTTGAAGGTCCTTCAGTTTGTTGAACTCTTTCTTTAGTGAAGTATCTAGACAAATTGGAGCAAATTCATAATCAAACAGGATTCGCACTGCACGAGGAGAAATTCCTGTCAATAACAAGCTCATTCGGACAAAGTTTTCTTCTTCTGGTGAAAGTGACGCCATCTTGTTTATTTCAATCAAGTTAGTTTCTTATTTCCTTCATTTCTTTTGTCCAACTGTTAGTGCATGTATTTAGATCTTAGTTAGTTGTTTATGATCATAAATTTCATGTTGATATAAAATCAATATTACTACATATTCGTATGTTTGGTTCTTTTTTCCATTTAAGATATTAGGTACGTCCTGAAAAAGAAGGAAACAAAGACTCATCATTGGTTAATAATAATATATGAACACCATAGGCAACATAAGAAACCTGTATCTGTTTCTCTTCCTTGCCATTTTTCCATAGAATTAACACAATGCAACAAGAATATTTGTGTTTCATGAAAATTGTGTAGGCCAATTTATTTTTGCTGCCCAAAGCTAGTCTATCTCTTATAGTTTCATAGTTATGATATACAATACTTAACAAAACAATATGTAAAAAACATTGTAAAAGGTTCGTATAACCGTTTGTTGCACCTTCGTTTTCTGCATTCACTGTAAAACTGTAATGGTGACTGCTGAAAAGTTAACTCCATTTAGTGTATGTTATCGGCCGGTTTGTTATTCGTTATTCGTTATTCAATATCCAACCGGCTGCTTCAAATTTTCTTAGTTGAAAGTAATAAAATATTCGATAACATTAAAAGCAGGATAAGTAAAAAGGGATGTAGGAAATCTTTTTATGACCCCTTCAAGTTATCGTAAATTCTCGTTATGATATAATATAAAGTATGTAAATAATCGGTGTTGTCAAGATGTCACAGAAGCAAGGGTTCGAATCCCGCTGAGGGAAGAACAAAAATTTGATAACGCAAATTTGAAGATCGAACATTGTTAGAGTAAATTTGAGACGAATTATATATATATATCTATATATATTATGGTGTTAGCCTTGTATAACCACGTGTTATCCGATAGAGAATGTCTGTCATAATGTTGTCACATGTTTAGACGTGTATAATAAAATTAGAAATTTGATGTGGCGGCATGGTAATTCATATTATCATCCTTCACGACAAAAAAATAGCTGATCTGAAAGGTACACCATCAACTTGCCACCATACATCAAATACTGTTACAAACCTAGATAAAGCCGAAGAGGAAAGACATTACATCGACCACCGAAAGCTATACTTTATATGTAGCCTAGGTGGTCTAGTGGTCCAGGGCGCTGGACACGGTGCAAACGGTATTGCCACGATGTCACAGCAGCAAGGGTTCGAATCCCGCTAAGGGAAGAACAAGAGTAGATCTGATTCTGTACTTCCTCCCCGAGCGGGGCTGGAACCTGTACTTTTCACTTTTCACTTCTACGACAACACACATTGTTACGCTGATTTTCAAGGCACTTTATAAATATTCTAACGCCTGGTATTTCTTAACCATAAGAAATCCGATGGACAAGGTAAATTTGCAGTTGTCACTACACATAGGCAGACAAATTGTGTACAATTTGGAATTTAGTATGGCGTTCATTATCACTGAACTAGTATATATATTTGTTTAGGGGCCAGCTGAAGGACGCCTCCGGGTGCGGGAATTTCTCGCTGCATTGAAGACCTGTTGGTGACCTTCTGCTGTTGTCTGTTCTATGGTCGGGTTGTTGTCTCTTTGACACATTCCCCATTTCCATTCTCAATTTTAAATATATATATATATATGGAAAATGTTGTTTGTGCTGTATTTAGACCCCTCTAACAAGAAATTTGTTTTGCATGCACACGTATAAAATTGCGGTTTTTATCCAACGCAATCATAGGTTTGAACGTTGTTTTCAATTTAGACTTGTTTATATTTTTTCGTTTGGGCTTGTATTATATTTGCCTTCGGGTTTATATGATCCGTTCATCCTATTTTGACTCCTCAAAATTCAAGAGTCTATCCCAAATTGAGGTAAATTATGTGGCCTTCCAATAACCGTTTTGATTCCTAACATCACTGAAGAGACATTAATTGTCGAAATCCGGATATGGTGTACAAAAAATATTTGCACCTTTGTTTGCGGTATACCATCTTCGCCGCAAGTTTATTGTTTTCTGTTTGGTATTATATTTAAAGTTAAGATCCATTTATTACACCTTGTGATCCGTTTATTTGGCAATCGCCAATGGCAGTCAGCAGGATTTAAGAACATTCGTTTTTCGACCTGTTAGTCAAATGCGTTTTGTTAAAATATACTTTTTCACTTTTTTGGTCTTTTGGAAAATGTTGTTTGTGCTGTATTTAGACCCCTCTAACAAGAAATTTGTTTTGCATGCACACGTATAAAAATTGCGGTTTTTATCCAACGCAATCATAGGTTTGAACGTTGTTTTCAATTTAGACTTGTTTATATTTTTTCGTTTGGGCTTGTATTATATTTGCCTTCGGGTTTATATGATCCGTTCATCCTATTTTGACTCCTCAAAATTCAAGAGTCTATCCCAAATTGAGGTAAATTATGTGGCCTTCCAAAAACCGTTTTGATTCCTAACATCACTGAAGAGACATTAATTGTCGAAATCCGGATATGGTGTACAAAAAATATTTGCACCTTTGTTTGCGGTATACCATCTTCGCCGCAAGTTTATTGTTTTCTGTTGGGTATTAAATTTAATACTAAGATCCATTTATTACACCTTGTGATCCGTTTATTTGGCAATCGCCAATGGCAGTCAGCAGGATTTAAGAACATTTGTTGTTCGACCTGTTAGTCAAATGCGTTTTGTTAAAAGATACTTTTCACTTTTTTGGTCTTTTGGAAAATGTTGTTTGTGCTGTATTTAGACCCCTCTAACAAGAAATTTGTTTTGCATGCACACGTCTAAAAATTGCGGTTTTTATCCAACGCAATCATAGGTTTGAACGTTGTTTTCAATTTAGACTTGTTTATATTTTTTCGTTTGGGCTTGTATTATATTTGCCTTCGGGTTTATATGATCCGTTCATCCTATTTTGACTCCTCAAAATTCAAGAGTCTATCCCAAATTGAGGTAAATTATGTGGCCTTCCAATAACCGTTTTGATTCCTAACATCACTGAAGAGACATTAATTGTCGAAATCCGGATATGGTGTACAAAAAATATTTGCACCTTTGTTTGCGGTATACTATCTTCGCCGCAAGTTTATTGTTTTCTGTTGGGTATTAAATTTAAAGTTAAGATCCATTTATTACACCTTGTGATCCGTTTATTTGGCAATCGCCAATGCCAGTCAGCAGGATTTAAGAACATTTGTTGTTCGACCTGTTAGTCAAATGCGTTTTGTTAAAATATACTTTTTCACTTTTTTGGTCTTTTGGAAAATGTTGTTTGTGCTGTATTTAGACCCCTCTAACAAGAAATTTGTTTTGCATGCACACGTATAAAAATTGCGGTTTTTATCCAACGCAATCATAGGTTTGAACGTTGTTTTCAATTTAGACTTGTTTATATTTTTTCGTTTGGGCTTGTATTATATTTGCCTTCGGGTTTATATGATCCGTTCATCCTATTTTGACTCCTCAAAATTCAAGAGTCTATCCCAAATTGAGGTAAATTATGTGGCCTTCCAATAACCGTTTTGATTCCTAACATCACTGAAGAGACATTAATTGTCGAAATCCGGATATGGTGTACAAAAAATATTTGCACCTTTGTTTGCGGTATACCATCTTCGCCGCAAGTTTATTGTTTTCTGTTGGGTATTAAATTTAAAGTTAAGATCCATTTATTACACCTTGTGATCCGTTTATTTGGCAATCGCCAATGGCAGTCAGCAGGATTTAAGAACATTTGTTGTTCGACCTGTTAGTCAAATGCGTTTTGTTAAAATATACTTTTTCACTTTTTTGGTCTTTTGGAAAATGTTGTTTGTGCTGTATTTAGACCCCTCTAACAAGAAATTTGTTTTGCATGCACACGTATAAAAATTGCGGTTTTTATCCAACGCAATCATAGGTTTGAACGTTGTTTTCAATTTAGACTTGTTTATATTTTTTCGTTTGGGCTTGTATTATATTTGCCTTCGGGTTTATATGATCCGTTCATCCTATTTTGACTCCTCAAAATTCAAGAGTCTATCCCAAATTGAGGTAAATTATGTGGCCTTCCAAAAACCGTTTTGATTCCTAACATCACTGAAGAGACATTAATTGTCGAAATCCGGATATGGTGTACAAAAAATATTTGCACCTTTGTTTGCGGTATACCATCTTCGCCGCAAGTTTATTGTTTTCTGTTGGGTATTAAATTTAATACTAAGATCCATTTATTACACCTTGTGATCCGTTTATTTGGCAATCGCCAATGGCAGTCAGCAGGATTTAAGAACATTTGTTGTTCGACCTGTTAGTCAAATGCGTTTTGTTAAAAGATACTTTTCACTTTTTTGGTCTTTTGGAAAATGTTGTTTGTGCTGTATTTAGACCCCTCTAACAAGAAATTTGTTTTGCATGCACACGTCTAAAAATTGCGGTTTTTATCCAACGCAATCATAGGTTTGAACGTTGTTTTCAATTTAGACTTGTTTATATTTTTTCGTTTGGGCTTGTATTATATTTGCCTTCGGGTTTATATGATCCGTTCATCCTATTTTGACTCCTCAAAATTCAAGAGTCTATCCCAAATTGAGGTAAATTATGTGGCCTTCCAATAACCGTTTTGATTCCTAACATCACTGAAGAGACATTAATTGTCGAAATCCGGATATGGTGTACAAAAAATATTTGCACCTTTGTTTGCGGTATACTATCTTCGCCGCAAGTTTATTGTTTTCTGTTGGGTATTAAATTTAAAGTTAAGATCCATTTATTACACCTTGTGATCCGTTTATTTGGCAATCGCCAATGCCAGTCAGCAGGATTTAAGAACATTTGTTGTTCGACCTGTTAGTCAAATGCGTTTTGTTAAAATATACTTTTTCACTTTTTTGGTCTTTTGGAAAATGTTGTTTGTGCTGTATTTAGACCCCTCTAACAAGAAATTTGTTTTGCATGCACACGTATAAAAATTGCGGTTTTTATCCAACGCAATCATAGGTTTGAACGTTGTTTTCAATTTAGACT